TGCAGTCAATGACAAATACAACAATTTTCCATGCTTAAAAAAAAGTTATACAGGCCGGGCGCGGTGGCTCACGCCTGTAATCCTAGCACTCTGGGAGGCCGAGGCGGGCGGATTGCTCAAGGTCAGGAGTTCAAAACCAGCCTGAGCGAGACCCCGTCTCTACCATAAAAATAGAAAGAAATTAATTGGCCAATTAATATATATAATATAAAAATCAGCCGGGCATGGTGGCGCGTGCCTGTAGTCCCAGCTACTCGGGAGGCTGAGGCAGGAGGATCGCTTGAGCCCAGGAGTTTGAGGTTGCTGTGAGCTAGGCTGACGCCACGGCACTCACTCTAGCCTAGGCAAGAAAGCGAGACTCTGTCTCAAAAAAAAAAAAAAAAGTTATACAGTTGCAAAGTTTCCTAGGTCTTTTGGGATATTGGCAGACTTTTATCTCATGTTTAGCTCTATGTTTGCATCCTTATAGTGACTAGTAAAGAAGGATGTCATCGGAGCTGGAATAAAGAAAAAGAGGAAGCATTTGAGAAGGCGAAAATATTAGTGGCTCAGGCATGAGCTTTAGGCTCCCCCTTCCCAGGATTTCAGTGTCTTTGGATATGATCATAAGCCCTGAGGGGATCAAGTGTGTCCTTTGGCAAGTCTAACAAGGTGACGCGGTTCTCCTAGGATTCTAGTTCCACCTATGGAAGGGCGCCTGGCACTCGCTGTTCCCCAACTGAAGGGGTCCTGCTGTATAAAAAGCCTTGCGGCAAGCTGAGCCCATGCTGTTGCTTTGCCACTAACCATAAGGAAACTTCTCCCTATTAAGGGCTGGATAGGAGGGTTGTTTGCCAGCCTGGTTCAGCTATTGCCCGGATTTCTACTTTACAGAAGTGGCACGCATGCCTACAACAACATGGTGCCCTCTCCATGAGCCCCCTGGGGAATGAACTGCATAATATCTTAGGGCCTGTACACCATGAGACCAGTGCTTCCCTGTTGTGAAGCCCCCATTCCTGAAAATGCTGGGTGCTCAGATGGGTCAAGGTGAGGTGACCCATGTGTATGGATGGCAGTAGCTGTACGACTGCAGACAGATTCTGTCTGGTTTGAGGTGGGAATGCAGCAAAGCAGTAGACAGAACCCCGAGCTGCACGGTTGGTTTGTAGCCATGAGCCATGGCCTATAGATGAGCAGTATTTAAGTATCTTACAACTTGGCTTGCTCAGTGGGCCTGAGATGACTGGTATGTGTTTAAAAAACCCTTATGGGGAGCTGCTATGGAAAGATATTAGGGAAAGGCTACAAGAACCCGCAGAGAGCCTGACTGTGTATCACATTTCAGCACACTAGTCAGATTCACAACCCCGCGTCCCCAGGTAACACGAAGGGTGATGCTGTAGCACAAATTAGAACACCGGCTCCCTCACAGTCATCTGAGCACAATGACTGGGTGCATGACATGGGGGCGTCACATGCAGAGTTAGCTGGCAGCTAGCAAAGGGAGCAGGACTACCCCTCTGCTGTGTAGATCTGGTGGTGGCAGTAACAGACTGCTTAGTTTGCTCCTGCCTGTGCCCCTCCTGTCTCCCACGTACACTGGGACATGTATGGCACACGTACGTAAGACAGCCGCACCTGTGAGAGACTGACTTGCACACCACACCAGACCCCTGCCAGTAAGCTTGGGACAACAATGTGCACTAACGTGTGGATACTGTCACAGGACTGTTGCAGGCCTTATCTTGCAAAGGGACAAACCAAACAGCCACCATTAGAGGCCTGGAGCAACTTAGTGTCACGTATGGACACCATACACACATTGATAGCAACCAAGGCATGCATTTCACTGGACATCTGTCCAACACTGGGCACATGAAAAAGATACAGATTGGAGATTTCACTCACCATATAATCCCCAAGTGGCAGAGTTGATTGCAAGTGAAAACGACGTAATGAAGGCACAACTGCAAGCGCTCTTACAGTCCCATCCCTTGCGAGGGCAGGCTAAGGTATTGCCTTAAGTCATTAAGAAACTTAATTTGGTTGAAACAAACATGTGAGGCTGGTACCATACCAACTACTCAGGACCACTGTAAACGAGGGTCCATTAACCACAGTTGTAAAGAAAAGTCTGTCCAGATGTGTCTCTATGGGAGCTGATAAAGGGCCCACAGCTGTGTTGTTTAGGACTCCCAAGACCCTGAGCCAGGGGAGGGGACACCTGAAAGGGGATTAGACTGGAATCTTCCCCCAGGCTGGATAGGGTGTTTCTTGCCAGAGACCGAGAAATTCCCTGGCCAACTAAATTGGTCTCCATCCATCCTGTTGGAGTCTGGACCCAAATGCTCCACAGACCAAAACACTGGAATACTGCTCCCCAACCCCCTACCCCGTTCAAGGGCAGTCTCGGCCTCTTGTTATGACAGTGGGCCCGTTTGTCGTCTATGGTGAACATATCTTGCTCTTGCTCTGTAAACCTGTTCTTCTTCAATAAACCTCGTTTTCGTGTTTGCCTTGCTTTCGGCGTGCCTGGTCATTCTTTAGCCAAGAGCACACTGAGAACTGAGAACAAGATTGTTGACCTGACAATTTCATCCAGGAAATGGGTCCGGAGGTCTGGAGAGGGGCCTGGAGTGAAAGGGAACTCATCCCATGAAAGGGAACTCATTTGTTCATTGTCTATCCTTCTGCACTGATTGAATTTTTTACTATATGTATGTGAATTTTAATAATAAAAATTTTTTTTCCTCCAAAAAAATAAATAAGTGATACTCTGGTCAGCCATTTGACATTGTCCTTTGCTGTCCCCGTGACCTTACAGATAATACTGGCACCTTTGCCCCTCAGGCACCTTGTTTGGTATGCACCCCCAGCCCATCATCCTTGCGGCTGCCTGTGTCCCAACAGCTTTGAAGCTACCACAATCACTGTCCTTGAGAGGGAAGCTCTGCCCTTCCAAGTACTTACTAAACACTTGCTCTTCTGCCCAGTCTTCTGTTCCTGTTGCTGCTCTGCTCTACAAAAGGAAAAATAAACCTCATCCTACAGTGGGTTACTCTACCCTTTCTTTCTCCCAGTGGCTCTCCTCTTGGTTTGGTTTCTGGGGAAAATGGTGGCAAAAGGCATTACTATTTCTGTGTTTCATCCTTGCATAGGTATCACCACCTGCTGTTTGTATTGTTGCTGCAGCCTCTGCATACAAATAGAAAACAAATTGATGACAAAACAAATTTGATGACAAAAACATGTCACTCATACCATCGAAAAATGACTACAGCCCCCCCAGCCCCCTAGAAGCTCAGGGACCATTGCAGAAGAGGTGGGCCTGTGAGATTGTAAGAGCCAGATAAGAGAGAATGTGGAGACATAAGTGACTCCATCTTGGATGCTAATGTTGACTTCTGTTTAACCCCAGTCCTGGGAATTCCTCTTGATGTCTAGTTTATTTATTGCCAGTAGTATTAGAACATGTACTCACCGTAAATTCTACTCTAGATCAGAGCCACCTTGATGTTATCGCACTAATTATAGGCTGTGATGCACATAGCATTTTTGCCTGTTCTGAAGGGTTCCCTTTAATTGTCCTACACGTTTCATGTACATCCTTCCCCTGCAGTATATAAACCCTGGGTCTGGGGGGTAACAGTGCAGAGATTTCCCTGTCTTGCTGCACTACACTTCTGTCTGACATTCCCAGTAAATCACCCTTTACTGACAAACTGGATTTATCTGTCTCATCCTATGGTTTCTCAGCTCCTTCTGCATTTGGGGTCATTTTGCATACATGGCTTTTTCATGGAGCAGTAATATGCATTCAGAGTTCCTCCATGTCTCTTCATGACTTGATAGCTTGTTCCTTTTTAATGCTGAATGCTCTGTTGTCGGGGTATACCACAATTAATTTACTCATTCACCTATTGGAGGGCATCTTGGTTGCCTCCAAGTTTTGGCAATTATAAATAAAGCTGCTATAAACATCTGTGTGCAGGTCTTTGTGTGCACATAAATGTTCAACTCACTTGGGCATTATTTTTAATAAGTAGAATGTTTCAGTTTTGTAAGATGAAAAGTTCTGTGGATGGAGGGTAGTAATTTTAGCATGACAATGTAAATGTGCTTAATTTCACTGAACTGTACACTTGGAAATGGTTAAGATGATAAATTTTGTGTTGTGTATATATTTTTAAAAAGATGAAAACATATCCAAAAAATCTACTACCTTAGTTTCTTAGCAAAACGTCTTTAGCAAAGTTCCAACAATAATAGTAACCAAAACTTTAAAACGTGCATATACTTTTATCCAGTAATTCCATTTCTAGAAGAATATTCTTAAAACTCAGATAAGAAAAATATTGCAATTATGGACATATTCACCATTAAGTTTCTCACATAATGAAAAATGGAAAACCACTTAAGTGTCTCAAAATAGAGGATTCATTAAATATCACTTCCTATACCATCATACACTATAGCTATCTTAAAATTATGATCTGAATATGTAATTATGGCATGTTTTGTTCTTTTTTTGTTATGTTGAAAAATCAGGTCACAAAGCCACAGTGTGCCTACTCTTTCTGTGTGTGTGTGTGTGTGTGTTTATAATGGCTTTCAAGTGATTAGACAATTATCTGACAAGCATCCAGAGATCATGTTAAAATTCTAACCTGGTGAACTTGGGGAACCCGCCTAACCTTTTATTCACACAAAAGATGACAGCTACTATCTCTCGAGCGCTCATTCTGGGCAAGCCCTTTATGTACGCAGCTCATTTAAACCTCACAGCACCCCTTCATGGTATGCACTTTCATCATTTCTGCATTTTAGGTGAGGACTCAGGGAGACTGAGTGCCCAGCCAGGCTCACAGCCATCCAGAGGAGCCTGAAGCCCAGGCTGTCGAATGCCATGCCCACACCAGCAGACTGCTGCCCCAGGAGTCAAGACAGTGTTGGGGCTTCAAGGAATTTGGGGGCTTATCAAGAAGAAAAATATGACCACAAGATGGTGGCAGCACGCACAAGCTTTATTTGGATGATGCTTTAAGAAGTTTGCGTATGGAGAAGTCTCTCAGGTGTGAGTCTGTGGAGAACTTCTGTGGAGGGGTAAGGGGACTCCTCGAGAGAGGGGGATTAGAGAGGGGACCTTATTTAGCAGCCCAGCGGGTGTTATCAGCCAGGTCCAGGTTTGTTCTGCTACACACAGAAAATCAATCACTGTGACACAGGCTTTGCAAAGAGAAACCCATCAGAAAGGCAGGAGAACAGCTATCAAATTCACCTCCCAGAAGATAAAGCTCAGGAATATTTATGGATTAGGGAAGGAGGGTGATCTAAGGTGTGGGGAAAAGTGATTGGCAGTGAAGAAAAATAAAGTAACAGGCTTGTTCCAAGCAAGCATATTTGAGTTCATGGCATTTCATGGACACATGTACAGAAAATGGCAGTGTTAGCATGATCTGATGGTGGAGTTTTTGGCACTCTGATGTCAAAAGCCCAGTTGAAGGGTTGGTGGTCTCAACTGGTTTGGACTGGACAGGAGCTGGCGCAAGTTCCTGAAAAATAATTAAAAGGACCATTACCATGGTGACTTATGAATGTTACCTGTAAAGTAGCTAGTGAAAGTTAGGTTTCAGCATTTAGCAACACAGGCCTCAGCTTGTGGCCTTTAGCCTTATAGAGAAAAGAAAACAAAAACAAAAAGCAAGTGACCAAGAGCAATCAGGACAGGCAGATGTGATCAAATTAACCCCTCAGTTTCACACCCCTCTGCAGCATAGCAATGCCTCTGGGTCACGGTCCTTTGGCATCCTGCTCAAGGGCAAGTCTAAGAAAGCCAAGTGGAAGGAATACAACCAAGATGTCTATGGAGTGATCATCATTACTAAACTCCTTCAACCACCCCAAAGGCAGGAGCCTCTTTTGAAGTGCAAATGTGGAACGATTGCTGTTCTGTATAACTTCCCTTAATGACTCCAGTAAAAAAAAACAAAAAAAAAAAAACAAAAAAAACCCTAATCTATCATCATTAACACAAATTCTACCTCAAATAATGATAAATTTAATTTTATAATTTATATAAAATATGAACACTTTGAGGTATTAGATGCTGCTAGTTTGGTCCAACATTAAAAAGTAATAATACGTATGATAATTCACCATGTTACCACCAACAAAGAAAAAAGTCACAAAATCATTTCAACATATGCTATAAAGCTTTTCATCAATTTCAGCATCTATGATTGGAACACTTAGCAAACTATGGAAGAAGGGAACTTGCTTATTCTGATATACAGTTCCAACAAAAGATGCATCCTTAATGGTAAAAATAAAATTTCAACTTACTGAGATAGTGAGCCATGCCAACATGACTTGCTAGCACCACTTCTATTTAATATTATACTAGAGGTAATAGTAAGTACAGTAGGTTAAGTAATAAAAATTCAAGATAGACTAAAATTGGACCAGTCTTGAATCTAAAGGTCAACAAGGAGCTCACTTCAGTTAATCTCAGCCAAGCCTGGCAGAGCTATATCTACTTGCACCCCCATGAGAAGGGAATAAATGCTTGTTGTGGTAAATCACTGAGTTTTTGGATTATTTTTACATAGCGTTATTTCAACCTGAACCTAAACAATACAGCTTTCAAAGATTTAATGGATCTATGGGTAATTATTAGTTTGAGTCTGTAAATTCATGACGCCTTTGAGATATAAAAATTTTTTTTTTTTTTTTTTGAGACAGAGTCTCGCTTTCTTGCCTAGGCTAGAGTGAGTGCCGTGCGTCAGCTAGCTCACAGCAACCTCAAACTCCTGGCTCAAGCGATCCTCCTGCCTCAGCCTCCCGAGTAGCTGGGACTACAGCATGCGCCACCATGCCGGCTGATTTTTATATTATATATATTAGTTGGCCAATTAATTTCTTTCTATTTTTATGGTAGAGACGGGGTCTCGCTCAGGCTGGTTTTGAACTCCTGACCTTGAGCAATCCGCCCCCTCGGCCTCCCAGAGTGCTAGGATTACAGGCGTGAGCCACCGCGCCCGGCTGAAGTTTTTATTTTTAATTTCTGGATTATAACTTGCAATTTTCTCTCTAGTCATAGCTGTTTTTTTTTTTTTTTTTTTTTTTTTTTACTGGAGTCATTAGGGAAGTTATACAGAACAGCAATCGTTCCACATTTGCACTTCAAAAGAGGCTCCTGCCTTTGGGTGGGGTTGAAGGAGTTTAGTAATGATGATCACTCCATAGACATCTGGTTGTATTCCTTCCACTTGGCTTTCTTAGACTTGCCCTTGAGCAGGATGCCAAAGGACCGTGACCCAGAGGCATTGCTATGCTGCAGAGGGGTGTGAAACTGAGGGGTTAATTTGATCACATCTGCCTGTCCTGATTGCTCTTGGTCACTTGCTTTTGTTTTTGTTTTCTTTTCTCTATAAGGCTAAAGGCCACAAGCTGAGGCCTGTGTTGCTAAATGCTGAAACCTAACTTTCACTAGCTACTTTACAGGTAACATTCATAAGTCACCATGGTAATGGTCCTTTAATTATTTTTCAGGAACTTGCGCCAGTCCTGTCCAGTCCAAACCAGTTGAGACCACCAACCCTTCAACTGGTTTTGACATCAGAGTGCCAAAAACTCCACCATCAGATCATGCTAACACTGCCATTTTCTGTACATGTGTCCATGAAATGCCATGAACTCAAATATGCTTGCTTGGAACAGCCTGTTACTTTATTTTTCTTCACTGCCAATCACTTTTCCCACACCTTAGATCACCCTCCTTCCCTAATCCATAAATATTCCTGAGCTTTCTCTTCTGGAGGTGAATTTGATAGCTGTTCTCCTGCCTTTCTGATGGGTTTCTCTTTGCAAAGCCTGTGTCACAGTGATTGATTTTCTGTGTGTAGCAGAACAAACCTGGACCTGGCTGATAACACCCGCTGGGCTCTAAATAAGGTCCCTCTCTAATCCCCTCTCTCGAGGAGTCCCCTTACCCCTCCACAGAAGTTCTCCACAGACTCACGCCTGAGAGACTTCTCCATACGCAAACTTCTTAAAGCATCATCCAAATAAAGCTTGTGCGTCTGCCACCATCTTGTGTCATATTTTTCTTCTTGATAAGCCCCAAATTCCTTGAAGCCCCAACACTGTCTTGACTCCTGGGGCAGCAGTCTGCTGGTGTGGGCATGGCATTCGACAGCCTGGGCTTCAGGCTCCTCTGGATGGCTGTGAGCCTGGCTGGGCACTCAGTCTCCCTGAGTCCTCACCTAAAATGCAGAAATGATGAAAGTGCATACCATGAAGGGGTGCTGTGAGGTTTAAATGAGCTGCGTACATAAAGGGCTTGCCCAGAATGAGCGCTCGAGAGATAGTAGCTGTCATCTTTTGTGTGAATAAAAGGTTAGGCGGGTTCCCCAAGTTCACCAGGTTAGAATTTTAACATGATCTCTGGATGCTTGTCAGATAATTGTCTAATCACTTGAAAGCCATTATAAACACACACACACACACACACAACACACACACACACAGAAAGAGTAGGCACACTGTGGCTTTGTGACCTGATTTTTCAACATAACAAAAAAAGAACAAAACATGCCATAATTACATATTCAGATCATAATTTAAGATAGCTATAGGTATGATGGTATAGGAAGTGATATTTAATGAATCCTCTATTTTGAGACACTTAAGTGTTTTCCATTTTTCATTATGTGAGAAACTTAATGGTGAATATGTCCATAATTGCAATATTTTCTTATCTGATTTTAAGAATATTCTTCTAGAAATGGAATTACTGGATAAAAGTATATGCACGTTTTAAAGTTTTGGTTACTATTATTGTTGGAACTTTGCTAAAGACGTTTGCTAGAAACTAAGGTAGTAGATTTTTTGGATATGTTTTCATCTTTTTAAAAATATATACACAACACAAAATTTATCATCTTAACCATTTCCAAGTGTACAGTTCAGTGAAATTAAGCACATTTACATTGTCATGCTAAAATTACTACCCTCCATCCACAGAACTTTTCATCTTACAAAACTGAACATTCTACTTATTAAAAATAATGCCCAAGTGAGTTGAACATTTATGTGCACACAAAGACCTGCACACAGATGTTTATAGCAGCTTTATTTATAATTGCCAAAACTTGGAGGCAACCAAGATGCCTCCAATAGGTGAATGAGTAAATTAATTGTGGTACACCCGACAACAGAGCATTCAGCATTAAAAAGGAACAAGCTATCAAGTCATGAAGAGACATGGAGGAACTCTGAATGCATATTACTGCTCCATGAAAAAGCCATGTATGCAAAATGACCCAAATGCAGAAGGAGCTGGAAACCATAGGATGAGACAGACAAATCCAGTTTGTCAGTAAAGGGTGATTACTGGAATGTCAGACAGAAGTGTAGTGCAGCAAGACAGGGAAAAATTCTCTCTT